AATAAATTTCTTACTTACATTCTCATTCCTATTTAACTTTAGATAAAAAGACAAATATAAGCCGTTCAATGCCGCCCCCAATTAAATGCCGCCTATTAACGCCTCATCGTTCCTCGTCCTGAGGTAGTTACAATGTTACATAGGTATGTTTATAAATTTCTATCCTATTTTAAATTAGAATAAAAATCAAGGCCAACTCGCTCCGCTCACCGCCTCATACAGATGAAGATTCGCTGTATGCCAAAGGTAAGTTTGCATTTACCCTTTATTATTATTGTACATAAATTATTCATTTCCTTTTATTTCATTTTAGATTAAAAAAACAAGCACACACGTGCACTATCGCTTCAGCAGAATGCGACACTTCCGCAGGCCAAATGGTGAGTTTGTGATCATTTTTATATATATAAAAAAAAAAAAAGAAAAAAAAAAAATTTAATCCGCCTGAGTAGCCGAAGGGGAGGAATCTCGACTAGCAAGTCAATGGTCGTGGGTTCGAATCTCAAGTGCGGTAGAGTTTTTAATAAAAAGCCGATAGCCTTAGATGCTAGTGCTTTTAAGAGTTTAGTCTTAGAATTTATTTCTCTGGCGAAATTAATAATAATAATAATAATATATATAAAATTTAGTGATTACGTTAATTTACCTTTACAGGTATCAACAACCGCTCAACTCACTGTCAAACAGCGTACCACATTTATTTATTTATTTATTTATCTTACGTGTGTCTATATTATACCCATTTATACTATATATAGATATAATGTTATATTAACGAGCGGGGCTTTATTTATTATTGTAAATATTATTATAGTTTTAATTAAGTTTATAACGGCATAGGCCTTAAGGGGGCCCAGCCATTCAACACTATTGGCAACGCGCCTATCGCGGTATCTCAATAGTGGCGTGGAAAACCGCTTTCTTGTATTACGTAAAGCTGATAGTATAAACTCTTTACTCTTCCCGTGCTACGAAGGTTGAATAATCGAAGACTTTCTTTTGGAAAGCAGTGCCGTCAGCATTCATTTTGCGTTAGAAGGGAAAGATATCTCAAATTTAACCATTACAGATATTGTAATCCGTTTTAAATAATCTAACATGTGAATAAAAGTTAAAACAACTGAGGATTTATATACAGTAAAAGCTCCTTATTCGCGCTTCCTTCATTCGCGGTTTCACTATTCGCGGATTAAAAAAGTGCGACCCAATTCCTACATTCGTGGCTACAAATTTCTTTATTCGCGGATTTTTTGTGACTGGTTCCGGAATTGTTTTGTTTCCGAAGTTGAAATTTATTTAAAAAAAAAGAATTTAGACTTTAAAGCACTTCTAATTTTGGACAATGCACAGATAGAATCAAGTGACATTCAGGAATTGCTTGAATCGCAAAATGAAGATTTGACTGAACCCGAATTGGAGGAAATGTTAAATTCACAGCCCATTGAAAACGAGGCTTCAACAAGTAGGCTTCGCGATTTCTTTATGAACATTGATCCGACTATGGAACGAAGTCTTATGTTTGAGAGGCAAATTGCTAATGCGACTGCTGCGTATCAGTCTGAATTGAAGGAGCTTTTAGAAACTGCCAAGCAAGAGAAAATTACAAAATTCTTGAAACCAATGCCTAAGCCTTAAGATGATCAATCAAAATGTTCAAAAACTGAAGTTTTTCTATATTTGATTTTTCTTATTTTGTTACCTAGGAACGTATCCCATATAAATTACCATTCCGTACTCACGGTTTCTGTATTCGCGGCATATTTATGGAACATATACTCCGCGAATAAAGAGCTTTTACTGTACTCGTAAATTAATTTTATTTTTTTATTTTTTACATTCTTTGACATCATTGTTTATTTTACTGTAAACATTAATTTCTATTTTAGTAAACAACCATTTCTTGCTTTACAAAACCCGTCTCCCCTAATAGTTGCTTAAAGCCATTCGGTATTAGACCTTCACTCAATTCAAAGATCCATAGTCTGTACTGAAAATTACATATTTTAAATTACCGAATATTGAAAACTTTGAATACATTATAAATAAATATGTTAAAAATAAATTGTGTCATACTATTCTAAGAAATACATCAGACATGATATTACGTTCCAGTTCAGTGCTGCTGAAAGGCTTTATAATTCGTTACCGAAAACCGTGATGCTGAAAAACCATTCTATAGAGTGGCTGCTCCTGTGATGTGTTACGAGCGAAATGCATATTATTAATTTCCATTTTTAATATTAGTAATTATGTAATTATTAACGAAAATAATCAATGAACGATAAATGAGTGAATTCTTTGTCATGATAAAAAGATAACAAAGTTTAAAAAAGATTTGGGCTCTGACATTTAGTACATAGTCAGGAAGCTCTTTGGGAACGGTCAACAATACAAAAAAAAAAAAATTTTAAAAGCAAGAACAAATAGTGCAATTGTTAACAGAAACTAAAAATGAGCTTAAGTCGTTCAATAGCAGCAAGCTAAAGCTAACCAAAGAAGAGTACGACTTATTTCGGCCATGTGAATTCGAAAGTGAACAAGATTTGTATTAAGTTAACACCATTTTGAGCTGAATTTATGCGTTATCACAAATTGGTAAAGAATGCCGATTAGTTTCTAAAAATCTGTCCAGTAGATAGATGAGTTTTTGTTATTTGTTAATCCTTTGCTCTCTCTCAATGATAGAGACAATATGTGATGATGTATGAGAAAAATTAATGATTCGGGAGAGATTACAAGCTTTGGCCAATTAAGGCCTTAAGGCTATAAAGGCGTTAATATTAAAATAAAAATAAGTGGAGTAAAAACAGAAAAAAAATTTTTATGCTTATATTTACCGCCATACATAAATTTTAAGGAAGATATTGTAAAATAAAAGTGATTTCCGATCAGCGTACATTAGTGTAATGGATATTGGATCCGTTTTTGCATTTGTTTGCACTCATCATGCCTATCAGATAGCGTAATAAAGTCAATAAATTTTCTCTTTTAATTCCTTTTCTTAGCTAAAAGCCAAAAAAAAGAGTTATACAACGAAAAATATAGTCCATGTTTCTTTGCTTTATTCAACTCGCTATTTGTTTCTATTACATCTCATACTCACATATATATACACTCGTCGACTTACAAGTAAAACTTCAAAGCATAACAATAAAAATCCGTGGCAAAGGCTTAATCGGCCGCAATTTATTTTTAGCAAGAAACTCGAATTCGAATAATATGTGGTATGGTAACGTTTTGGAACCTTACCACAGGCTTAACAGGGCTACCATTAATTTAAAACTATTATTAAACCCTACAATGTCATTTATCCTAATAAAATATATCTCGTTATGCTACATTCGTCTTATCATTTTCTTACATGGAGAATTTCTTTACTCTTTGTCAGTAAACGGGATAAAATTTATCTTTCACCTCTTAATTCACTAAAATATAAACTTATGGAATCAAATTTTTTTGATATAATTAATTTTTTTATTCTTAAACTACTGGAAGGAGTAGCGTACGTTGTGTAGGTCTTTAATAGCAAACATTGATATTGTTGACTGTGCGCATCATATAATATAAAGTATTAAAACCATACTTTATTCTTTAATTAGATAGCTGACTGTTTCATCAATATTTGACAAAAATTGTATGAAGAAATTGTATGTAAATAAATGAAAATTGCAATAGTAAACCAATAGAGACCATTATATTTAGTCATATTTCTTTATGGTCGTGAATATATATATATATGTGCTTGTTTATTAAACTCAACTGCAAATTAAAATTATTCTAGGATGGTAACTGCGTTGCGATTCCGTAAGCTACCAATTCCGTTTTCTAAAAGTTATCTATCTCTTAAAGTGAAAAATATAATATTGTGAGTCTCGCCATAAAACGATGATTATAGTATATGAACAATAAATTCACGCTTGAATCCTATGTATTGCTAGAATCCTGAGTATCCGCTTAACGCAAACTGTCCCTTTTGACGTAAACCACAAAACCCCTTTTATAGAAATAAAGGGTTTTTCGTAGGTTTCACCTTAAAATCCAAATTTCTCCTCCGCATTGTGGTGTCTTCGACGGGAATGAGCTGAAAGAGACTTCTTTTAGCATGTATTCCTTTGTTTCTTTTAAACAGAAAATTCCGCAAAACTTTTTAATTTGTGTCTAAGAGGTTCTGAGACTTTGGTCTCTTAGAAGGATTTTTAACACTGACATTTCTATCGGAAAACTTCACCCAAAGCGTGGTCAATATGCCCTAGATCCAATTTCCATCAAAATTCCTATCCCTCCGTTAACTAGTCCATTAGAAATGCCAACATTTGCGGTGGTCCCATATTTTCCAGTCGTTTTCAATAACAATTCAAACTGAAGTCCTTGAGTCTCGGATGCCTCCAGTTATTTTATGCAAACTTGTGTCCAGGCATTGCTAATTTATCCACCACGTCGTGATGTCCACCATAATTATTTTAGAATTACCTGACGTTTAATAACCAAAATCTCAAAAGAAAAGAACTTTTAATCATTTACAACATTGTGCGGGCATCGGTCGATTTTTTCCATTTTCTTACAGAAGCAATAATGCCCGTAAAGCAAATGTAATTTTATAATTTGCAAGTAATAAACAAAAACCCAACATTTTTTGCTTAGAGAAATCGAGTTGCTTTCAGTTTACGCTTTTCTGGGATCATATCACCTTGTCCATTTTTGATACAAATATGCACGCAGTTTCTACCAAATTTTAGGTCGATGCCTGTTATTTTAACGACCAGGAGAGCCAACAACACGCGCAAAACAGACATGGCTTAACCGACCTAGAATGCCGCCCTTATTAAAAATATTCCTACCTTATAGTCTCTGAAGCATCCATTTGGCTGTTGCAAAAATTATGGCAAAATGAGCAAATCTGCGTGTTGTTGATTATAAAAATTGTACAATGTTATGAACAGAATAAAGAAAAATTTTCCGTTTTGAGGAAAGTTAAACGTAGAAAAGTAGAAATTTATCTATTAAATGTTTCGAACACCATATCTATGGACGATCTTTAATATGTATCAATAATGCGGAGGTTTAGTAAAGAAATTTTTATAGACGTCCGCACATATTCTGCAGCGAAACTTAATTATCACGTAGGACTATAATTTTTACTTATTGGCTAATAGAAATTCATGAAATTTTTCAATCATCTCTTGATTATCTCGAAATCCAACGATTTTCTTGGCATCGTCTTTAGTTAACCATTTCAAATCAGAATGTTCCTCGGATAGCACTGGTTCTTTACATGGGTCCCTTACTTCAGCCAACCAGTAAATAACCTCTTTTGGTTTGCCATTAACTTCGTATTTAAGAACTATGGGATTGTCTTTGTATATTTGAAGATCTTCCTCACAATATCTAATAAAAAAACAATAAGTCACAACGTAAAGAATTACATATTTTTGTGGACGAATACCCAGCTTCTTCTCGAGTTTCTCTTAATGCAGTAAAAAAATCATCCTCACCGGGATCAACATGACCTTTAGGCGAACTCCAATGAAAGCTACCATAAGAGGCTTTGAGCAGTAGATATTGAATTTCATTATACACGCGGCGAAATACCACAAAACCGGCAGCTCGTTTCATTATTATTGTTAAGTTAATATACAACTTTCAATTGATTTTGTTTAATTTAATTATATTTGATTATTTTAACCTTTGGGGTAGATTCACAACGTTTACTCCTTGTAAAATTGGTTCACTAGGAATTAATTACAAGTAATTACTATGTGCAAAGGGCATCAAAGAAAACCATACAACTAATTCTTTTTTGCTTTGCTTAATTCTTGATTGCTTTGCTTTTTCTTTGATTAATTTGCCGCTCGTTGCCTGAATTGTCAACTTTTTTGCCTGTGTCAAGCGCTAAACATAATAAAATATATATGTTACTATAGAAGGTAGTAACGTAGCTGAAAGTTAACCTTCGCTTTTCGTACGCCTCTTATAGTCTTGCTCAAAATTTACTACGCTGTAAAAGCTGTGCTTTAAGTCCCGATTTTTAAATTAGCTGCTTGCAATAACTATTAATTCAAGCTCTTTAATGATATTAAATTTTCAATTACTATTTATAAAGTACGCTGGAAGGATTTTATGGCACTGTTCGTATTCTCTTCCAAGCCACAATGATTCATATAAAAAATTCGACAACGTAATCTTAATATTTTTTAGAAAATAAATGCTTCTTTATTTGTACTCATTTGCATGCTTGGTACTAATTATCTGTAGGGCAGCTACATTTCATTGTTGAGTTGCGACTTTTTCGTTTTACGTATGCAAATTAAGTGCGAGAAACGATGTTACGTCAAACTACACGAAAGCGAAATAGCTCAAGTGCGTTTCGAGGCTTTGGAGGGTGAATATTAGTTGTTTTCACTTACGTTTATAAAAGGAACTGTCAACGAAAAATAAATCCCAACCAAAATTGTTTATGTTTTGTCCAAATCTAAAAGCTAGTTAAAAATAAAATGAATTTAAACAATGTAATACTATAAATTTTGTTAACTTTATTTTGGCCTCTACACTGCGGGTTTAATCGGAGAACCCACTGAACTCAATACCATTATTAGCTTTCGACGGCCTTGGGAATTCTTTTGGTCAGGCTAAGCAAATTGAATAAGATCTTTATTTTTTCTTTTGAAGTTATCCTGAAATTGTACCGATGAATTTATACAAATCCAAAAAGAAAATTTACAGTTTGCTCTTTTAGTTGGTGGTCAATGTTTAACTTAAATCTTCTTTACTTGAACTGATGACGCACTTCCGTCTTGAACAAAGATTTTATGGCAGCGCCTTGGTACACAATAAAATTCAATATTTGCGTTTATTGGAGATCACATTATTTCACTTTATTTCATTTTATTTTTTTAAGATATGGGGCTCAAGTGCGCAAAACAATTCCCAATTTATTACCCAAAAATTTCAATACATATATATATCTACTTTCTTAGTAGAAATGGATTAGTCGTAATTAATATGGATATAATTTTGTGCTTATTCATTTATGTATTTTGGTTTGTTTATAAAATAAATAAGAGAACGTGATAATGGTAAGTAATGCAAAGAAAAGGAGAATTAATGAAGTTACGTAATCAGGTTCTGCTACATAGTATCACATATAGTATAACAATCATACAGTTGAAAGTTAGCTTTCATTTTCATCACGCAGCTGAATAATTTCATTTTTACAATTTGTACATGCAGCAAAAAGTTATTATTGTATTGACGCTTAACATACATGAAATTTGTATTTGCATGCATTTGTGTAACATTTGAAGATGTAGTTGTAAATACATATTTATCTTCTTATATATGAAGTTACAATGATCACGGCGAAGAACTACTTATTTTTCAGAATGAGGTTTTCAGATTCTATTTGTCATTGCAAAATAGGGTTTGAGGTGGCTACATGAATTCTTATTCTTGCATTGTTCTTACAATAATTTGGTGGTTTTGGCAAGCCAGATTTGTTGAGACGTTTTGTTATCTAGCAAATAAAATAAAATAAGGAATTAAAGCTTAAAATATACCATTTTAATTCACGGCTAATCGAATAAACATGTAGTAAAATGGTGTTAAATTTATTCTTATCACAAAACCGCAAACCAACGGTTAATGATTTTGATTTTATGATTTTTACCGAAAGCTCAGCTTAAGCAAGACGGCATATTGAAAAATGATAAAAACAAGTGTAGTAATCGCAAATGTTGACGCATTGAATTGTGAACAAAAATGCTTCATTGGTGCCACAGAAAATTGAAAATTTTGTTTTTGGTAATAATTACAATCTGCTGCATTTATATTTTGATTTCGAGCAAAGCGGATAATCTCCTGAAACATAATAAAAAAGTTCATATTGCTGCAAATGATCTGCCGTTAATATTGTGGTGGAATGCTATGCCTAATGACTATGGATCAACAAGTTTATGCGATTGGCATTTTTGTAGGTTTACTACTCAACGTAAACATCTAGCAAAAGCGAAGGCAAGTATAACCGTATTGTTTACTTGAATTAATCTTTTCGCAATTGTGGACTCCTCCTTTACCCGGTTTCTTACACGATTCGTAAATAACACGGTTTGCCAATACACTTGTTTTACACGAATTCTTTTTTTCGGTCGTATAGTATACTTTTCTGGTCGTATATTTTTGACAGCTCCAATGATTAACAAAACTTAGATATGCACGTAAGCGAAAGAAAACTTATTAAGCTAAAAAATTCAATGTCTTTCTTATTATTCTTATCCGTTTGGAGTCAATTCCGTTCAGAGTAAATTTTCCGATTCATTTGCACGAGCAAAAGCGAAGGCAAGTATAACCGTATTGTTTACTTGAATTAATCTTTTCGTTGACAATAACGTTGTTGAATACAATTATGTCGTTCAAGATATCGTCCTTTGTTAGTTACTAATCTCCTGCTTTTTCTGCGCAGCAGATAAAACTATTCGTCTTTTATATTTTCACATTATTTGAGAAGCTAATCAATTGGCATGTTTTAGAAACGACCGAAATAAGAACGTCGATAGATTGTGTGAGCAAAACTCTTGATTAGTGAAGCAACATGTGGTTAAACTTTGCCGTGCTCGAAAAGGTTTTTTTACCGTTCTTATTACGATCGCTTTATTACTGACTAATAGTGGCTTATTTATTGTTAAAAAATTCCTGTTTAAAAAGATTTCAAAAATTCCAAGTAATATACCAAGCTGCCAAGGTAGTTCCATGAAATGAGAGAATCGCCTTGGGGACGCTAAAGCCGAAATTGTCTGCTAACGGCAGTGAAGCTGAACTTTTGGGAATTAATTTTATTGTAGTGAAACTATTTTCGATCAGCAGTCACAATACAAAGCAAAAAGTTTTTCTTTCAGTCCTTTAAAACAGTTCATGTGTTGTAAATCGAAGTTCAATTCTCACGACCTACAACTTTTTGCTTTTGAATTATTGAATTATGTTTAAGCTGCTGATTATATTTCAACGTCATTAAATAAATAAAAATCATTCGCATTTCATTCACACTTGATACAACAGGTCATGTCGCCAAACGGCAGCTGGATAATTTTTGTGTTTTACCGGTGTTAGTGAAAAAAAAAAAAGGAAAAAAGAGAATTTAAATATTTGAAAAAAGGAAAATAGGTTTAATAAAGTAATAAAATTTAAAGGAAAAAAGTAGAGAAGGAAGAGGAAAATTAAGAAGCAATACATATATTCAATTTTTTGTTTTTTCGTTGTGATTATTTCTTTTTTTTGTGTTCCCCGTGATAACAACCAAAACAACATCAGCCCGTCTCCCTATGGAGACTGGGTCTGATCTTATAACTACTGATAGAGACTGTTTTGAAGATTTTTACATGAACGCCATTGGGCACACCAAGAGATCGAGAATGGGTGAGAATAATATTCTTTTATCTGCTAACGGAGAAGCTAATGCAAACGTTTTAATTGCGCCTAGTAAGCAGGCTATCGACAAGCCCTCTGATTTGGGTGCCACAGCCGCCCCAAATCTCGAGATCAATTTATACGATTGCCTTTCGAACTGCAATTTCGTCGTTTTTGTCGAAACGTGCGCAGACGCAGAAGGAAATCGCATCAATATTAATTCCAATCTCTATTTTTATGATTACTTGAAGGATTTCAATAGGTACGGCTTAAAAGAATTAAAAGTGATCAGCAGGGGCAGAGCCAAACTGCTTTTCATCTCTGCTGCCAATTCCAACAATTTTGTTACGAATAATGAATTTACTAGAAAGAATTTAAAGGCGTACATACCGAGGTCTTTCACTGAGAGATTTGGAGTCATTCGAAACATCCCATGCACATATAGTGTCGATGATATAATTAAAATAGCCCTATCCGATATTCCGATTAAGTCCGCTGTCCGTTTTCAAAGAAGAAATCCCAACAACAAAGACGAGTGGATTCCCACAACCAGCATCAAAATTGGCTTCAAAGGGAGAGCCCTCCCTAAGTCAATAAAATTTAATTATTGTTACCTGTCGGTTGAGTACTTTGTACCCACTTTAAAGCAGCGCTTTAAGTGCGGTAGATACGGTCACGTGTCAAAATTCTGCAAAGCCAAAGAGAGCAGATGCCTTAACTGTGACGATGAAGTGCTTGTCCTGCGTTTCAGGTGAGCACAACACTCTCAATAAGTGTTGCCCTAACAGGGAGCTTGAATCAAATATCAACAGGATCATGGCAATTAAAAATCTTTCGTATAAAGAGGTAAAAGAGAATTTTTCCGTAAATTAATTCGAATGTCTCGATGACATCACTTATGACGACAATTTCCCTCCACTGGGGAACACGTCTGCAAATTCGACCAAGGATGATAATCAAAATGTCAACAAAATTTTAACCAAAAATAAATATAACGCTGTCGTCAAAAAAAATCGGTTCCTTCGAAATCTTCTCTCAGTTCACTCACTAAGCCTCCTCTCTAGTCAGCCCCCCCAAGCTATCTGGAACAAGTCTTCGGCGTCCGATAATTTCAAACAACTATTTGCGGTCCTCAGAACTTGAAAGATTAATTCTCGCGATTCAAGAAAGTATCCGTCCGATGATCCCTCATAATCTTATTAAAAAATTCGAAGAAAAAATGCCTGTCTGTGCCATTTCTTGCCCCGTTCAAGCGCCCAGTACTACGAGGAACTCCGCTGGGGTTCTTTCTCAAGTTTTAACATCATATCCTTTTTACTATATAATATTCAAAGTGTCCGACGTAACCTACCGTTTTTGGATTTCTACTTAAACTCAAGCAAGGTTGATTTCTGCATCTTAAGTGAAGTTTTTCTGAAAGATAAATATTGTTTTGAAGTTACAGTTTCGAATTATGCCTCAGCCACCAAATACCGAAACGATGGCTATGGTGGTGTTAGCACATTAGTTAAGAAAGGTGTCAATTTCAGACGTATTCAGACAGTCTTCATGTACAAACTTTTCTTGATGGGATTCCGATATTATGTGACTTTCCTGATGGTGAAAAAAATGTGATTCTAGTTGATCTAATTTATATTTATTTTGCTAAAGGTTCTAAACGTGAAATCGGACTTCTTATCAAAGGTACCCAAGTTAATCAGGTAAAATCTCTTCGATTTCTTGGGAGAATTTTAAATGACAGCTTAACACTTCGTGGGCATTATGAAAAGGCGTTCAAAGACTGCCAGTCTGGATGCAACATCATCAAATTCATGACAAACAATCAGGCAGGTCCGTTTTCGAAAGAGCCCTTTTTTGCACTGCCAAGGAGTTAATTAAAGTCAAGATGATAAATCCTTGCTTTTTTCAGGAAATTATATCTCTCAGTGATACTGTCACTTGCAGTTATACTTTTTGCTATCAAAAACTTCGTCATATTTTTGATAAGTTAGATTCAATTCCTCTTCAATTTCAACCTTCAGATGTCACAAGTTATGTGGCTGTCTCCTCGTTTTCTTTGCAGTAAAAAATGTGCGTCATCTCGGGGAACTAACTTGCTTTATTAGAAAAGCTAATTTATCGTTTTAGAATTTTTTTTTTCCTCTTCTTTCCTTTTTTTTTTTTACGTTCAACCATCTTCTATTACCATAGCATTCCGTTTTGTTTTCAGCCAAAGTTTGCAACACTGTTTGACTTTCAAGAACTCAACAAGCACGATTACATACACACACACAATTACACTTAACATGCTGGCTCCAGTTATTACGACCGCTCTTTTTTTTGTTACGTTTTGTACATAATAGTGACGAAAAGTTACGACAGTTCATTATCTGGACATATAAGCCACATATCTATTGGTTTAGTTCATCTCCATTCAACATACCAAAGAAAAAAAAATATATATATATATATATTTCAACGTTTGCAAACCATGCTCGTGAACATATCAATTGTTTGTTACATCTTTATCAGATGTTGCCCGAATGTCTTAAAACAACTATTTATCAACTGCCTAATCATTCCTGACGGATATAATAAGTCAGTTCCCTTTTAACATGCCCTAACATTTCGTCCGTTTTAATAAACAAGAATGCATAAAAAAAACTGTGCACGCCTTGATCGAACTTAAAAAATGTGAACCGGTACCTCCTGCATCAATTGCAATGAACAGCACTCGGCCTTAGATAAACAATGCCCAATAAAACTTATAATTGAACATTATTGCTGCGATCGCTTCGCAAATCGCACTTAAAAAGCCAGCATTTGTTTCTAAAGACAAAATGAAGTCAACTTAATCCCTTGCTCTCGTGTCGTCACAATCATGTAAGAATTGCAAAATTTTGCAATGGAACATCACAAGGAGCAAAGGACATATTAGTAACTTTAATATTATTACGGGATTTTAATCCTAAGTATATAGTTCTTCAAGAGATTCACTGTAGAAATTATTTTAATCCGACATTACCTAACTCATAGATCATTGTATGGAAAAAAATCAACAAGCTTGTAAGGCTTCGTGTTCTAACGAATTTCTGCCAATTGCACTCTCAACGAAACCTTAAGTGTTAATGATAATCGTTATGAAATTGAGGATTTGGAGTACTGTTTGAAATGTATTCAATTTCCAATTATAAACGAGAAGGTATCATTAACTGTTACATTGTTGAAACACATTTGCGCTACAGAAGAGACTCTTCGCATGTAAGGAATGTAAATCGAAATTATGTTGCGCAAGAGCTACGTCTAATTATTGCTTATGCAATGAAGAAATACATGACAATAGCGCCATATTGTGAGCAATATCATCAAAGTTTTAAGGAAATTTCTACAGAAGATGTGGTGGGTACTCTCATAAGAGAGAGCAAATATTTAGAATTATCCAACCCCAGCCACTCAACATTTGATGTGTTTGAAAGAGCATTTTTACTTTTCGAAAGAAGCTGTGAAAGTATAACAATTTAAAAAATGCAAGGAGAGGAATTGTTGCTACTATAATACATAAAATAGAATCTTAAGAATAGAAGGCAGATGCACGGAACACCGGACCAAGTTGTTAAAAGTTTTCCCTCCTCCGCCGTTTCACGCGAATTGTAAACAGAGTAACGACAATGTTATGTTATCCTCCCCTCAATAGTGGAATTTAGAGTAAACATAAATCCGCCCCCTTTTTTAGTATTTTTCAATAACGACTTCATTGCAATGATTTTTATTCTGTTTTTTTGTTTCCTGTGCATTCCCAAAATGGGCGTTGGGTACTTTAAAACGGCTACAATAGAAAAAGCTATCTCTTAAACAAGACTTAATTATCCACACTTTTTCCGATCCAAATTTTTTTCCCAATCTTCAATATTAGCTAGACTAGCATATTGTCACCTTTTAATTTGTTCTCTTAAACCTGTCGGCAATAAAACAAAAATTTGGTTGACATTGTGCTAGTTTTACGGACTTTATTTTTCACGAAAACTATTGTGGAAGAAACTTCAACTTTGCGAACTTCTCAGGTGCCAAAATTTATCTGCCAAAAAAAGAGAGCATAAATATATGTAGAAAGCGTCTATGGGATGAAGAAAATAGGCTAATGGACCTCATTAATTTACTATTTACTATCAACAACGACACAAATTGGTCTCCCAGCTTTAGAGAGTAGACTTCTTGAATTAAAAGCTAAAATCATCCCCAAGCGAGTAAACTCAAAATTATCTATTTTCGGCTACTATTGCCAAGAATATCAAAAGTTCGCCATTCGCAATTGACTACTTTTTATATTTCGGAAAGAAAACGGATATTCCCCTAAAAATATCCCATAACTTTGTTCTTAAGCTTCCGGGGGATTTGAAGGTCTCCGTTTGTGATATTTATAATGTAAAAAAAAGAGCAGACTACAAGTTATGTGTTCAGGAACCTAATTGCTTCTGTTTAATGGCATACTTCGCGAAAGTGCTTTAACTTTTCTTGGTTTTCATCGCTCAGGCCAGAGCTACCCTTCAAATTATTAACCTTGCTTATAAAAACAAACTCAAGCAAACCGAAAGCCTATTCATGTTACAATCGGAACCCTTTGACTTCCAACTGGAGCACCATTAACAAATTAAGGAATACACTTATGGTTAAACGCTTTGGAGTAACCTTTGTAAGTGTGTAAACTTTTCATTTATTAGGAGAATCGTATTCGGAGCAGATAAACCTACGGGTATTTTAAGATCAGTTACAGAATTCAATATATTACTTTATTAGTATGACTAGACTAAACATCCAATTCGGTTTCCCAAAATAGAACCGAAAGCTAGCGCTCAATTTTTTTCACTTAGTCTAAGAATTTCTTTCATTTGTCTAGAAAAATGATAATAACAAGCGGAGGTTTAAAATATAATGAAATGCGGAAGGTGAAAATTGATTCTTTGGTACTTTATATTATGTGTTATTTACCATTTATGAAAATTAATCTAAACAATGATTACCTAGGCTGTACTCTTCTATGGTTCTGACATTGATATAGGTGATTTGCCTTTACCTCGCTTTCCTGGTCAATTGTGGGCTTTACTACACGAAGAATCTCCTCGCAATGTGGCATTTATGCCGTACCAGCAATGGCTGCAGCATTTTAATTTCACTTCAACATTTAGTCGTTATAGCGACGCTCCCTTAACTACTTATTATTTGCCAAAGGTCGAGAATTTAACTAGTCCCACCTATGTAATTCCGGTAGCTGATAAATCCGGGCAAAATAACCAAGGCTTAGTATTTTTTATGCAGTCGGACTGTGATACAATGTCTGGAAGAGATGATTACGTACGTGAATTAATGAATTACGTTACTATTGATTCCTATGGAGCTTGTTTGAAAAACCATGAACTACCGGACAGGTAATCATAACAAACATATGCGTACGCTGTAATAATCATTAAATGTTTCCAGTTTACAGGAACAACAGCATGATTATTTAAACAATTTATACTCTCCGGAGATATTAAAATTGATAGCTCGTTATAAATTTGTGTTGGCTTATGAGAATGGAGTTTGCTACGATTATATCACAGAAAAATTCTGGCGTCCTTTAACAGTTGGATCTATACCTTTGTATTTTGGTTCACCAACTGTCAAGGTAAGGTATCAAGGTAAGCGTTTGCTCTTAGCGACGTTCTTTATTTAAAAATTTTTTTTCGATTTCAGGACTGGGCTCCTAATCATAAGTCTTTTATAGACATATCAGACTTTAATAGTCCTAAGGTGAATAAAGTTAAAGTGATATAAATTAGCATCATCTTAAAAGAGACTAAATTAAATAAATAATTAATGATTATCTGAATTTAAGGATTTAGCGAACTTTATTAAAAAGTTGGATGGTAACGAAGCGGAATACAATTCTTATCTTCAACACAAATTCAATATGGTGAAACCTATCGGCAATGAACGCCTTCTAAAAGAACTTAGGACCCGTAATTCCTCTTTGTATGCCAATAACTTTTTTCAAAGTTTTGAGTGTGAAGTGTGCAGAAAATTATATCAGCAACCCATTCATGTTCAGATGGCTTCAGAAACACATTATCAATGTCCTCATAAACCCATATATCCAAGCATGTTTGGAAAAGTACGTAACAATGAAGAATGGCGTTCAGCTATGGAATTGGGCAAATGCCAGGCAAATATTTTAGATAGGTTTTTAAAACGAAATTTAAAATTTACCAAAGATAATTTCACAAAGCTTTTAAACGATGAAATGATTTCAGGAAAATGTTTAGCTTAAGTTATATATCCACAGCTCCGTAGTAATCATTGCAGGTACACATTCTCATTTTATATTGTTTACACTATGTCTCACTTGTAACCTACTATTAAGGTTAAGTATGGAATTTTATAAATAGATTTAAATAAAAATGTTACAAGGAATTAAACAAAAAATTTCAATTGCTATTGCTTTTAGATTCTGCATAGTTTAGATTCTCAAGATTGAATTTGTTAACATTTATTACGTATTAGTAAGTATCAAGGGTTATTTTAAGTTTATCCAAGGAAATATATTAGATTTTTCAGATGTTTGGTGGAAACAACAATTGGAGATCGCGCATAATAATTTTTTTTTTTTTGGATATTGAATTAAAATGGATTAAGTCAATAAGACTTGTAGCTTATATGTCCATATAATAAACAGTAATAATTGTTTGCAAGAAATATTTTAAAAACAAAAGGACTGCAGCAATTGAGCCAATATGTTGTGTGTAATTTTAGATTATTGAGCTGTTTAAAGGTGATGTGAAAACAGTGTTGCAATCTTTGGCTGAAAATAATGGAATATTTTAGAGAAATATTATCGTGAATTAAAAATATAAGTTCTCATCGGACATTTTTTCCTGCAAAGAAAAAGAACGAGAAGGCCGCCGTACAATTTGAAAAGACCAAAAAACTTTTAATACCATCAAACTGTGACATCTAATGTTCACAAGACGCGCTAATATTGAAGACCGTACAAACATCGCATGTTACTGCACGAATCATTTTTAAATACACTTTCTCATAAGCGTGACCACTCATCAGTCTGCAAATAATTTTGATATCCCAGGGATTATAGGAAGCCGTTGAAAAGATTTTGAATTGAAATGCGGGATTTATTTTGTTGAAAAGGCGATTGTTGAAAGATGTGGTTGCGAATTGCCCGTATTGTTTCATTGGGAGTGAACTTGAGAGACAAAATTGTCCCATCAAGTTGAGCCCTTTTTGCATGGAAGTTGGCTCCTTTTTATTTAAAAAAAACCGCAGTGACCAGGTATCCAAACAAAGTGACAGTCATTCACTTGAGATTCACTTGAGACCTGACTTGCTATTCGAAAAGATAACAATTCTCTTGATACCATCAGTAATTTAATGGCATGTGTGAAGGCAAGCAACACGATAAAGATCAAGGAAAGTTCCTCCGCCACTTTGACTTTATGCACTATTTTAGATAGATGCTTCAGTACCGAGAACCAAGATACATTATGTCCGACAGAACCGTTAGTGGCATATATATGCCGTTGTTGTAATGAAGAAGAAGCTTTTCTTGATATAAGATCCTCATACATGAGAAATTGACATTTTGTTTTGACGTAGACATCAATTCAAGAATGTTCATGAAGACTCTACATTTGATTGAGATATAACTTTCTGGAAAAAAGAAGGACTCATTAACTTGATCTTAATTAACTCCCTTACAGTACAAAGAGCAACGTTTTAACAATGGATTTTCAAATGTTTGTATACGTTTCTCAATTCAATCTTGGATCTGACTAAAGATTTGCATACAGTCGAAACTTTTTTGGAGGCAAGCCTAACCGGTTGTTAGTCATCAGTTTGATGATGTTGCATTCAGACTGACAGCCTTTGAACGCCTTTCATAATGCCCACGAAGGCTTAAGCTGTCATTTAAAATTCTCCCAAGAAATCGAAGAGGTTTCGACTGATCAACTTTAGTTCCTTTGGTAAAGAGCCTGATTTCACGTTTAGAACCTTTGGAAAAATAAATAGTATATGTTTTGCCGGGGTTTTATCGAGAGTTTATTGACAGCCACTGAAAAAGATGAGACCGTAGATACAATCAGGAAACCATCTGCATATTATAATATCATGCAAAGAAGCTGCGTATAGACTGAACAGTATGTATACAGTTAAACAACTGCCCTATGGGATACCACCGTATATTTCAACTTTTTCAGTACCACCAACACACGCTTGGATAAATAAATAAGTATCCACAGCCGCATTTGAAGAGAAATCGAAAAGTTTAAGAGAATTCTACCAAGCTTAATCAAGTTGACACAGTCATAGGCTTTGCTGATGTCCAGGGAAAGCATGACAACCATTTTCCCTGCTTTTTTTAAGCTAGCTATGAGAATAGATTTGCGCTTTTGATAGGCGTAAGAACGAGCTGGAATAATGTTCTCAGTTTTCAGGAAACCAGTTAGTCTTTCCTTAACCATGAGGTTGATAGTCTTTATGAATACAGATATCACTGAAATTGATCTGAAGCTACTTAAATCATTTAAGTCATTGCCTGCCTTAGGAATGGGAACTATTTAAAAGTATAAAGCACCTGTTAATTGCACGCGAGAGAATGCTAAGGCTTCCTCCAGACAGTGCTCTGAGCATGTCATACTTGACTCCATCACAACCTGCAACAGTAACTCTCTTTCTGAAATGTAAAACATATATTAGCTAATGCAATGAAAAGGGTGTATTGCGGAGACTACTAAAAGGAATTTAAGGTATTGTAATCGAAGTGACACTTGGAATGTAGCTCTTAAGCATATCCAAGTATTTTTTATTATCATGGTCATTCCATACAGCACAACCGCTTAATTTTCAACTAGAATATCGATGACCACTGATATAATTCCAGAAATTACGTGGGTTGCCGTTACCACATAAATCTTTAATCGCGATAGCTCTATGTGTCCTTTTCTGACTCCAAACCTCCATTCTTTCAGTGTTTTCATATATTCAATGTAGTTGGCTGGATTGGCATAGTTACTCATTTTTCTCCTTGCAGCTTGGTATTTGCGAAAATGTGTTGACAGGAAAAAGTTCCACCAAGGTTTAGGTGAGAAGGACTCAATGTCAAGGAAAGTTGGTTCTAGCAGACCTGATCACAGACGGAAAGGCACTTTGAATTGATGACAAATCAGAAGGAAGATCAACTTTAGACCGACGGTCCATAAGGAAGTTGCGTGAAATGAAATTTTCTATTTTCTTAACGGAATTGTTAGAGTGCTGACTTTTGCCAATGGAAATGTTGGACGTGTTCCAGTTGAAAGATAAAATAGTTGAATTCGAGAAAGTTAGGTCCAAGACACCACTCGCCGTGCGACCACTCCGGTTACAGTGAAAGGTAGTATTACCATTATTTAAGATGTTGAAATTGCTGGCATTGATGGCATTTACGAGGATCTTGCCTTTGTTAGTCAAGACTTGATCGCCATACCGGCAATGTCAAGCATTGAAATCTCCTACTAGAATCACATTTTTTTCACCATTAGGAAAGTCACATAATATCGGAATCTCATCACGAAAAGTTTGTACATGAAGACGGGGTGGAAAGTAGCACGATGCTATGAAAAGATTCAATTTAAGATTTGTAGTTTTGATAATAATGTCGACAGCAAAATTGTAGGGAATACGTCTGAAATTGATGCCTTTCTTGACTAGTATCTGGAAACTTTATACGAGATAATATTTCAAATTCAAAAAGAACCCTAGGGAATTTACTCGCAGTCCTGGGTGCTTGATTGTAGCGAGTATTAGCATAGAGAGACATTTTTTTATCGAATTCCTTAACAAGATTCTGAAGGATTGTCGGACGGATACATTCTTTAGTCGCAGAGATAAATCTATCAAGTTCCGAGGAAAGCAAATTGTTGTTCGATATTATTGGTCGCTGAGGCCTTGTTACAGACAGCTCTGGGGGTGAACTGAAAAAAGGTTTGGTGGGTGAATTGGAAGAAGGGTTGGAAATAACAGGTTTCCTTTTAACGACCCCATTAAATATTTTGTTCGTTAAAATCTTCTTTGCGTTTTCATTATCATTCTTGAAATTGCAGACGAGTTTCCCAATGGAGGGAAATTCTCGTCGTAGGGGTCGTCATACAGATGTTGTTGTGGTTTGAAGAAAACTTTTCTTACACTTCTTTATAGGAGAGATTTTTAATGGCCATGATCTTGTTAACATTTAATCCCAGCTCCCTGTTCGGGCAACATTTATTTGAAGTATTACACCTGACCCATAGGACAAGCATCTCGTTTTTGCATACTTTTCGCACTTGGCAGACTTCCGGCAGTTTAAGCACCTTTTCTCCTTTGCTTTGCAGAACTTGGACACATGCCAATATCTGCGGCAGTTAAAGCATTGCTTTAAGGTGGGTACAAAGTACTACAACGGCAAATTACAAAAATGAAATTTCATTAATTTGGGCAGAGCTTTCCCCTTAAAACCTATTTTGATGCTAATTGTTAGAATGAACTCTTCTTTGTTATTAGAATTTTTTGTACGAAAACCGACAGCAGATTTATAGGAACGTCGTAAACCGCTATTTCGATGATCTCGTTTTCATTAACGGACATTCCGAATTACTTTAAAACTTTCGGCGAAAGCTCTCGGAATATATGCAAGAACTACTTTTTTTTTGAAATCATTATCTTTGACGAAGCTGTTAGCATTAAGAGAAGAGCTGAAAGGCAATTTAGGTCTGCCCCTATTAACTGCTTTTAATTTTAGTAATCCGTCGATGTTGAAGATAATCATAAAAAAAAGTCCAAGCTGATATTCACTATTTTCCCTTGGCATCTTCAAAATTGCCTTGCAAAGGATAGTCACACAAATTGATATCATGCTTCGCAATCTCTTCGGCACCCAAATCAGAAGGCTTATTAAATACCTGAGCACTGTCAACTCTTTGGCTATAGCTCCTCGTTTGGGAGATAGACTAACATCATCCCCACCCATCCTCAAACTCTTGTTATGCTCATACGTATAGAAATCCTCGAAATCGTCTCTATCCGTGATAATTAATTCAGACCCTGTCTCCATAGGGAGATAGGCTGCTGTAGTACCTTTCCCGGGAAACACATTCCAATCCGGATCGAAAAACGAAAAAAGAGAAATTAATACATATTTTACTGTTTAAAATTTTCGTTTCTTTTTTAAACCTTTACTTTTTTTAACTTCCTTTTTTAAATTTTTGTTATTTTAATTTTTTTTATTTATTTATTTTTTTTTCACTAACACCGATAAAACATGAGAAAAAGAAAAAAAAATTACCTAGCTGACGTTTGCCGAAAGTCGAATCAGTAATTGTAATTTAAAGTATGTTGTGTTGTTTTGAGCGTTGATTGTGAACTGGTAGTGCATAATATATTCAATTTAATTCAAACTTGTTGCTTTTACGAATACCACAAGTAGGTCACATCGGTTCATACCTCCTTTCCAGCTACAACCATAATCCGTTAAATGTTGCTTGTTGGCGTAGAGATTCTATTCTATTACTTTGAGAAATTATATAACATTATTTTTATTATTGAAGACTCCTCCAATATTAAGTTCGATTTCATTCGATATGATTTCCTATTTTTTCAACTCCCTCTCCCTAATGGGCCTTAAAAGTGAGTAAGTTCAGAAACAATTGGTAAACTTAATAAAATACTAGGAAGCCGATAGCCTTAGATGCTAGTGCTTTTAAGAGTTTAGTCTTAGAATCTATTTCTCTGGCGAAATTAATAATAATAATAATAATAATAATAGTAATAAAATACTGAATATGCTGTAAAAGCGCTCTCTGTGTCTATTAAGAATCGCTTGCTTGCTATCACCTGATTACTGTTTTAGTTTAGTTAAATGTCTCTAAATCATCTACTACAAAGCCAGCTGATCTTCTCAATTTACAATTAGTGGAAGACCACGAGTTTTTAAAATACTCGAATTGTTATATAAAATTTTATTTTCTATAAAAAATAATCATAAAAATGTTTAAAAACAATATAAGTTGTTTGATAAAATTCATTCCGGGTTGCTTTGATAAAGTTTCGGCTGTGCGTTTCCCTCAGATCACACAACGCCATAAGTATGCTTCTTTTAGTGCAAGAGACGTGTTGCATGAAACCTCTGACGAAGCTGGCACTCTTACAGCTACTTTTGCTAAGTATATTGCTATCAAAAGGCATAAAGATGCCGCACAAACTCCTACAACAATACGTTATGCCGATTATTTTCCTATCGCAGACATAAGAAGTTTTCAACGCGAACTACAAAAAACCCCAGCAGATCAAGTGGCCGCACTTGTTATATTTACTTCAACGTATCGTCCAAATGCAGAGCCACAAACATATGCCAAGGTTCTGAACGATATAGATTCAATAGCAGTGAAATTGCTGCCACAAATGCACGAAGATGTCGTGCTTCGTACTTTATATGCCTTTTTGTTTTTAATGCCTAACTGGATAACACGTCTTGATTTCTATAAAGCAGCTCTGAATCGTCTAGCCACCAACAATGAGCAGCATAACGAATCAACCAATAAGTCTCTGGAGAATTTTGTTCAGTGCTGCTTTTATCTTGGACTTAGTAAGAAAAACATGTCAGCAAAGGCCAATGCTTCCGAGCTATTGCAAAATCTCTTAAAACAGAGATTGGATATCCATCTAGATAATATGCATACGCTTGATTTTGCTATTATTTGTAATGCCATCTATAAAACAGCCACTTCAGTAAACTTTGGCAAATTTAACCAACGCGTTATTAAAGAAGTGCTAAAATTAGACATCGGCCATGGTCAAGATGGCATTCTAATAAACTATTTGAAACTATTACGTTTTCTACGTGTACGTTCCGCGACTGTTTGTGAATATTTAACTGCAATCTGTAAAAATTCTGACAGCTTGGCAAAGCTACAGATTAGAGGACAAGTACATTTATTTGCCTATTTAGCGGAATGTTTGTGGGACAATGAGGAGTGCTCGAAGCCGATTATAGAACTCTTTTTCAAAAACCTTTTGCAACCGAGAAGATTTGAATTTCATTCTGAAGCTGTAAGAAGTAAAGATCTTTGCACATTTTTATGGTGTTGTGCCCAAATGAACTGTCCTCTTACGTCTGAGCAATTGCGACATGTTGAAAATCATTTATTTGATAAATTGAAACAAGGCGAATTTGAAAATTACCCGGATCAACTTGTGGATTGTTGTCTCTCCTTGTGGATTTTGGGATATAAATCTAAGGAATTATTAGAGCGATCTTTACATACAAAATCAACAGCAAAATCATCCAAGCGAGCACATCCAAAGGTTGATAATCGTCTTACCGTACTAATGTCGGCGTCTCAAATCGAACAGCCATCATGGTGTTTCGAACTTTTAAAAGGATTTAAAGCTTATGACATCGATGACAAAGTACCGAATTATTTACTTAAGTGTTCTGATTTTGATTTAAAAGAACTCTCTCTAAAATGGTCGCAAGAAGGTAGCGTTGAAACGGCGCAAATTGTTTGCCCGATAGCTGGAATAAACATTCCATCCATTCATATAAAAACTCGGTCGCCGGACAGCAAAATCTCTGATAGCAAGGTCCTAGTGGAGTTGCTGTCCGAATCTCAAACTTTGCACTTTAGCAAAGAACCGATTGCAATAGTTCGCCTAAAATTACGTCTTCTACAAGCATTAAACCAAAAGGTCGCTATGGTAAGGCAATATTCAAAGTCACTCATTATTTTTCCATATATCATCGAAAATTTGTTGTTCCGGTTGTAACAGACGAAAATAACCATTGGAGACACTGAAAAGATTACTTTGCTTTATCTATTATATAAGACTGAATAACGTCAATAAATTTCTGATATCATTTTTTAAGCCAAGTGTAAAAGCATTCTTTGCTTTGCAATCGTAAAAGCTTTACAAATAGCGAGATCAATCACAAATTCAAAATAAAAAAACTGTCCATTAGATAGGGTCAAATATCTTAATTTTTTTGTGTACATGCTGGAGGGGATGGGTATTCAAAATTTTTCCTAAACAAATGCAATTTGCTGGCTCTTTTGTAAAAATAGTCTCTAATTTGATTTTCTATCTTTGCAGATTACGACTAAAGATTTATCTGAAAATCTTAACATTAAAGATATCGTAGACAATGCGAATGACGAGAAGAATTTGATGGAACAAAAAACGAATAGTATTCAAGTATGAAAACACAATCACTTTCATCAAATATATGGTTCACTTCAAATAATTGGTATGAATAAGGTTTACCTTTACGTAAATAGACTTAAATAAACTAATTTTGTTATAAAACATAAATTGTTGTTTTTAAATTGAACGAACTGCCTATATCGTAAGCACTTTCAACCAAATGTTTGCCATAGATCTCGAGAGGGTTATGCAATATTTATTTAATAGTATATAGCAACCAGAAGATTGTGTCATATCTCAGAAATTTTCTGTCTAATCAGAATTTTCTTTGCGTGATATTTGTTAACAATATAATGTAGAACAATCCAGCAAACGTCCAGTTTAAGTCCATCGCAGAAGAAGGGAGAAGATTTCAAGATTAATGAACGAGTCTAGATGATAAAATTTATCTTATTGAAGTTCAATAGCAACCATTAACCAAGCAGGAGAAGCGCTGGCATTTTCTATCATCGACTTCTCTTGTCGACGTTAGAAAAGTAGACACGCTTAAAGAAACCAGAAGAAGTTCGAAACATAACCCTGAAAGAAGAAAACGGAGAACGTAGTGCTTCTAAGTAAAAATATATGAACATTTATTTTCTTCAATTCTTGTTCGCAGCATTTTGTGATCTGCATTAAGCCTTTGGAAAGTTAAATGAATCTTGGAACGGATTTGGATAGGCTTGTAAAGCGTACAAACGTGCTTCAGGCAATTCTGAAAGTGTGTATCTGTGTGCCTACTAATAATAAGGTAATAAGTGTCAGTAGCAAATTTTATTTAGCCACATAGCCCGAAGTTTCTGCGAAGTTTGATGTCTAACTAGTGCAACGATAAAATTGAGGCTCTACCAACATACATAAAATTGGCAACGTTTATTTTTATAATAAATATATTCCTACATTCTTACAGTTAAGCTAGGTTCCAAATTGTAAAATTAGGTTCTTCCCGATGTTGCTGCAAAAACTGTAAATATTCTTATATGAATATATATATATGTGGCCATGAATAGTATATTCCAGTCAATGACCTTAAATAATCTATTATGACGCAAATTTCCTTTGATCTTATTACCAAGTCAGCTTTACAGTAAATAAGCGGCCATTTACACGTTTCATATAAAAATAGAAAAGGATTTTATTATTACTTTTTTTTAAACTAATTTACAATAACATTATTATTAATTATGAAAAATAATAAAATAAACAATGGCGAAAATAATAAAAATAATTCACAACACATTTCCAACTATAATATGCCACTGTATACTTCGAATTGAACTTAATGGCTTTAATAAACTTTAAAAAATAAACTAAATCTATTTAACAGATTTAATTTTAGCCTTTAATACCACATACGAAATGAAACGAAATATTGCGATAGTTACGCACAAAGCTATGATGTCAAACCAGAATTGATCACCTCGCATTGCGATTTCCTCTAAAAATTTCTTTGGATATCTGCATAAACAAGTGTGAAGACGTTAAATAAAAAATTAATTCAATACACATAATAAAGATACAATCGCACTTACCGATAATGGCAGTACGGTGCCTCCTCACATTCTAATACGCCGCGATTCTCACCATAAACACCCCCAACGAAGCCTTCTAGAGCATAACGTAGATATGATATGTGACTGCCCCATTTCAAATAACTGGGTAAATCTCGTAAAGTAACACCGAAACCGGCAAACATCATCATAGGAATATTTAAGACGGGAGCGAGGAAAGTTCCATTCTGTAGAAGCGAATCAAGTAAAAGTTTAAATATCAAAATAAGAACAAATAACAAGGACGTCGTGTTTTCTTTAGCGCGAATCTTCGTTATGCATCCTCTCAATTTGTTACAATAGCAAAATATTTTACTGACTGAGAGTGTCTAATCTCCACTAGTCTGTTGCCGCCTACACCTTGATATGAATCCTTCGAAATGTGAAAGAAGCGAAAATTAAGTAGCAAGTAATTGAAAATTGCTATGATAAAAGTTACTTCAAGTGCATGATGTAAAGTTTTTATACTCTACAGCACGGTATATATAAAGTTGGTGCGGGTGCATCTAACACCTAGATTTTATAAAAACACCAACTCCTTGTTTGGAATATGAACTTTGATCAACATTCGTGAAGTATCCATTATATAATTTAGGTAGAATAGGATTAAAAGAGCTTGTAGAATGGGTCTCTTGAAGGAATATAAAGGTTGGATTAAAATCATTGATGAGCGTACGGAGTTCATCAAAATTATTAAGAAGTCCTTTAGTGTTCCATTGTAAAATTTTAAAAACTTTATTTAATTGTAGTGACATGGATACGAAGTGGTAGGTGGGTTAACTTGCCATGTCAACATCTCCGTCGAGAAGGTCGCTATTGGAATTTTGCGAGAATAATTTGTTCTTACCAGCAGAATAATCTGTACTTAGGTGGTTACGTACATTTCAAATGCAACGAGTGAGCGCACGTGAATAATTTGAAATTGAAGGTTGATTAAGGGATGAAAGATTGGTTTCATTACAACTTGTAATTTGCTGACTAGAGTTAAGAGTTGGTGATTCGGGGTAATTTACTTTATTGGATTTTGGGATACGTGTTGTTGTTTTAATTTTTTCAATATTTGCTGTTGCTTTGGTTTTTTCAATATTATCTGTGGCGGGTGATGGAACTGGTTTCGCAGTATAATTTTTGGTTGGTGGTAGAACAGGTTTTTCATTGGAGGGAGTTGAAGTTAAAGGTTTATTAGGCTCGATTTGCGAGGCGACAGCAGCGTAGGTATTACTTTTTGTTAATTCTTTGGATACCAGATGGATACATTTCCCGGTATTTGCGTCGGGCTTCGCCCATGCTATAGTAATTTTCTGTTTTGATTTTTAGAATTTCACGCATCTGTACAAAACGTGGGCATCGTTTTCCAACGCCGAGTGTTGATCATTGCAATTTATGCAGAAACTACGCGTGCAGCTTTCTACATGTGGAGAAAGACCACAGTTAGCACAAGATGGAGCACCGGGCACCTTTTAGCCATATGACCCAGGCGTTAGCAGTTTTTGCACTTTTTGTTTTGGGAAATTGTTACGCTAGCATCAGTTGAAGAAATAACAATATATTTTTTGTCAATGGAAGTGATACCACTCATTGGCAACACCGAAAAGTCCGAAAATTTAATTATTCTTCTTTGGGGGGATGTGTCAGCTAATAGATGAAATCTATTCGAGTTTTTTTCTGGCGGCCCCGGGGCATTATGCCTTAGGGTAGACATTATGCCTTAGGCTAGACACATCTTTTGGTAAACTGATCGATCCGAAATCTTATGTTTTTGTCTTCAACCTACAGGTCGCAATTTTTATGATATTTCGAACGCGGATGTATTTTGACCTAGAGTCCCTTTTACGACCACTCCCACGTAGAACCTTTTTTTAAGTCGGTATATAAACAAGGAAATGCGGTTGTTGAAACCGGACTTGCCAATCATAATGCTCTTGTTTATTTTTTAATTATGGATGTAGGATCATCTAGGTCCATCAACACCATTTTTCCACAGAATATTTTTGGAACGTATTTTCATTAAGTTTTTCTAGTCGATTTTCTATAGATCGCAAGTTTATGAAAATAAATTATTGAATATCCATTTGCGAAGAATTTCTCTATGGATGGAAGCTAAGTTTGAAATTCGATTTGGAAACCTCTCTGTATCCCTCCATACTTTTACGATGTTTTCGACTATCTAATCGACAGTCAAGAGAAAAGAAAACGAACTGATGGACATACTATAAATAAATGAATGCGCTCAAGTTCTAAAGCTTTTCAAAGAAATTCGTGAACACATAATGTACATCCTTGATAGCCAAATGAAACTTTCTTACAGTTTACCTGTAGCTACGAAAATAAATGATTGCGCACGGAATTGTAATTATAAGCATTGAGTGACCATTAAAAAAATATGTCTCGTTATTTCTCACATATAGTATATAGTGTGGCAGTTCTGCAACTATAAAAGCAGTATAAGTCTGTTCTGAGTTGACGTGAATGCATATATCATTGAATAGAATACCAATTCATTTCGTTCGATTCTAGCCTTGTAACTTACCACAACGTCAAACCAAGAACCGACTATTAGGCCAAAACTTTGGCCCGCAACGACTGTTAGAGTACTAATGGCAAAAAACATCCAAAATCTGGGCCATTCCATGGGCTGATGACTGAAATAGTAGATGATGGAGGTAAAGAGAAAACTTGCACATATCTGTAAGAACAAAAGCGTAATTAATCCTTATTGTGATTGCCGATCCTTTCGTTAACATACCGATATGGGCAAATCGATTAGTGTTACAGCTGTATAATATGCCTTCAAAGAGTACCAACGATTAAAATGCTCTTTTAACAGAATTGTCATTTCCATAGGAACTATATAATGGTGAGATAAAAAGCAATTCAATAAATTATAAAGAAGAAAAAAACAACAACGAAAAATAAAATTGCAACTGAATTCATTAATGAAAGCAAAAAGTGATGCGCAAGCGATTTAATGTAAATCAACTGATAAGAATACGATTTAAATGAACGTTGAAAAAACAAAACAAATGTTGTTATCGTTAGCAGAAGTTCAAGCCTAGTAAGAGAATTCAATCAAAAATCAGTGAACCCCGAATAAAATTTATTTTTCATTTTCCGTTCATTTTAAAGTTCTGTGAATAATTTTTAATAATGGCATAGTGACCGGATTAGTGAATTCCGTTGTTATTTATATATATGGAGTCAACCAATCAATCAATCATTGATGCAAATCAATCAAAATTATTTCAACTTACATGTTAGCACAGTTAACATCATACTGGACGTGGAATGATGAATCAGAATAGCGAATAGTAAATTGTAATTATCGATCACTCGCGAGCCCTCTTTGCCAGAATTATAATATAAAGCGCTTAACATGAGAGCCACAAAAATGTTAACACCTAAACGTAGATGGGTCATAGTTGTATCACGTTTGGATTTGATGTAACCGCGATGCAGAAGCACCGACAATTGATTCATATAACTCGTATCTTCTAGACTTCGTTTTTTACTCTTTTTCGGTATACGATGC